TGTGTCCATTAGCATTGTAAGAATGCTAGCAGCCAAATGAATACAACCAAGATTGAAGTCAGCAATTTGATTAGGTATAGCAAGTAACACAACCATTAAAAATGTAACAGACATGAGCAAAACTAGAAATATTTTGCGACGAATGATTTGGAACCTTGTTTTTTCAGCTGGTGCTTTGTCCTCATCATCATTGTTTACTGAATCATTAACTTGAACATTCTCTGGCAATGCTTCACCAGAAGATTGCTGCAGTTGTACAGCCATTCTGGTACTGCAATAAATAATACTTGTATTAAGACATATAGCTCAATTCCCACTTTGATCATAACCCATTGCGGTGCTTTATGTTCCTTAGAGATAGAGAGAGTTAACAATTTGTGCCTAACTTGAGGGTCTATAACTTTGCACTGTAGCTTCTCTTTCACTGGCAATAGAAGTAATTTCTGAGCTTGCTGCAATCCTAGAATTTTGAGCCTCAGAATTTAAACGACTCTCTTCTCCTTTCTCATCTTGATATGAATTAGCAAAAACAAGTATATTAGCACAACATGCATGATTATCAAACCTAGTATAGCTGCTGGGAGCTCTGCTATAAAAAATTCGAGCAAAGTTAGTATACCAAGACACAATAGTAGTAGCACGATTTTGTTTGATAAATTCCCTGAGAATGAGAGGTGTAACAACAAGACAGGCAGCATCCTTTGTAATGAATGCAGAGAGGATGGCATTGATTGAAATGGCTTATTCTCATTAACATAACTACTCTCAGAATACCTTCACAATCATAGTAATAAGACAGCATCATCATCCCAACCAGGAGAAACACTGTCTGCAAGTTATCTTTATACCCTTGAATTGCATACACATCATTTTGAGAAACAATTTGAAACAATATGGATGCACTATAATGTGATTATGCAATGTCATCAATCATCATGTGTAGATACATCTATGTAATCACATACAATTCCTTTCTCAATAGAATAATTATAGGGAAAAATTTGCTGATTGTACAGCTGATGGTTAGTGCAAGTACATGTACACAAAACATGCATGAAAGAGTCACTAAAATAAAAGTGTAGTCATGCAATTACATATAAGAGTGAAAGGAGAACCTTCAATGAATTCTTGACATTCAGAATTATGGCTCTATTAAGTATTATTGTCGTTGTTATTGTGAGATGATGATGTGATGGGTGTGAGTGTTAAGGACGAGATCAAGAGACTCAGTTCCAAGTATGGAATGAGAATGCAGCCTCTGTCAGATCATCAAAACTCAACAGTAAGTCTAAATGTTAGTATTGAAATACTACAGCCTGAGATGTTTGTTGTTAAGCAGAATTTTCTCCCAAAGTGCTGTCTGTTATAATTATAAGGCTCTATTTTATTATTTTAATCTGTAGCATTGCATGCATGCATAGATAATGTATTTCTCTTATAAAAATGATAATGTACTGTCACTACTATGTACATGTGTGTAGGTGATGGATAGAGTTAGAAAGCTCCTACCAGGAGTAGAGATAAGAGATTTTTATACCTGTAAGTACAACAACTGTTAAAAGCAATAATGTCCCACCCCTTCTCCTCTAGCTGTTAAAGAGAGGTTAGTAGATGTCTCACACCAGCCTCACTCCTATCAGCAGTCGTTTGGCAGGTCACAGCGACCTCATCTACCACCCTCCGGCATTTCACCTTTCCAATATTTCCCTCGTGCAGCTGCAGGTTCTCATCCCCCACCTCTTATCATTAGACCCCCTCACTCTTAATGTCTCACTGGTTGATTGTAGAGACTTGTAGAAACAGCTATACTTGTCTTTGTGTGTTTTTTTTGCATCCCTGCACTGAATTTTTTTAACCTCTGGGAGTATTCTGAATCTCTTTTTTGTCTATTAGAAAGGAACTATTTACTTGTACATAATATTGTTGTACAAATTTAAAACACAGAAATAAGCTGATCTTCCTGTGGTTTTATGAATAATAATTACTAGAATGATAAAAAGACCCAAAAAATTCAAAATTACACAGCCAAGAATTATCATCTCTGATACAGGCCACTACCCAAAATCAATGATTCAAGCCTGAATGCCTGATGTCTATTTTGATACAGCCCTGACTGGCATTAATATTGAATCGTGTCTGTTGCTCTGGTTGAACCAAGACTGTACTCCAGCATGGTTGCATCATGGATGATTATCATGATTGTATCTAAACTAATTGCTTTGCAGGCTGCCCAAAATCCATGATACAGGAATGCATCAGGCTGATCATGATTGATATAAATCAGTCATGATTCAAATTAAAATTCTTGGCTGCTGGGTGTAGGTTGTGGGTGGGTAAAGCAAAAATGTCAAACAAGAAGAAGCCTGTCAAAAGGCCTCCATCATCATTCTCGGGCATTTATGGTTCTGCAAAGCAGAGAAAAATATCTGTAGAAAATGAAGAAGAAAAGGATTTGAGGGTCTTACTGGACCAAAGGAAAGAGCTTGGTCCAAGCACAGAGTGCGATCTGAGAGGATCGCTGATTCCACGGATGACACGACAGCGAGTAGGACAGCTTCCAGTTGGAGGATACGACAAAAGTCATGAAACAGTCGCAGGTGATGTTTCGCCGTGGGCTCCAGAACCTAGATCTAGATCTACCTGTATTCGACCTGGGAGGAAAAGGAAACGGGTATCACATTCAGAGGAAGGTGACTTTATTGCTACTAAACGACAACAACTTGATCAGACTACTATCTATGATCAGAGATTGACAGGAGTGTCACCTCAGTATTATGAAAAGAAAACAGCTCTTTATTCAAGCACACCACACTTTCATTCTCTACAAGCATCAAGCAATAGTTTAAAAGATTGTCATCCGTCATTGGTACCAAGTTGGTGTGATACGATGGTAAAATACTTAAAGCTATCAGCAAAGGATATAGTTTATGGTGAGTCAGTATTGAATGACATATACGATTGCTTTGTTCATTTAATTTATGATATTAATGCTTATGGTATCAATAACAAAGAAGGTATGATTTTACAAGCTATTAAAATGTTAG